TTTTTTTTTTTTTTTTTTTTTTTCCTATTTATAATATTTATACAGCCAAAAGAAATTAGAAACATTCTGGGGAAGTATAAAAAACGGTGCGCGCCCCGGTGCAGGGGAGTGCATTGGGCGCACACACGCATAAGAGCATACGTAGGCGCTTGTACATGTTTATATAATCCTACACATATGTGTAAAGCGTGTGCACTTATTGGAGATTCCCTGCGTAGTTTTTTTTTTTTTACCACGATTATGTAGCTGCATGATGCAGAAGGAACCTGGGGAGGGTAAACTTGCGGGGGGTACGTTTGGACGGGCGGACGCAGGCCAACGAACAAGCCTCTCAAATCAGACAATTCAAAGTGCCATGTGCGAACCGTGTAGCAACAGAACATAAGAGGACGGCCAAAAATGCGTACGCAAAAATGGTTAATTTTTAAAATACCTTGTGGAGATGCAGACGTGTCTGCAAAGGGAGCCAGAAATTGTCACATGGGCAAATGTTAAAGTGGGAAAAAAAAAAAAAAAAAAACACAAAAAGGAAATCACAAAATAGGCAATGGCACAAACACGAACAAAAACGCAAAGTCATTTAAAAAAAGGGCGAACAGCTAAACAACAGCCAAAGCGACAAAGGTACACGGCTACGAAGTTACACGTGGGGGACACAGAGCAGCCGCATGCGTCGAACTAATCTTGTCCCCTCGCTTGCAGGTGAGGACACGTCATATGATAATATGATACAGGACAACACAGTAATGTGCAAACATGGCATGGTGCGGTGTTGCGTTTTGCTCACCCTGGCGTAGACTTCAACGCATGCTCGGCGCACGTGTGTCGGTTCGTTCGTTGTAGCGTCCTTGCTATGTACATCAGTGCGTGCATTAGAAAGGGCAGCAAAATTAAAAAGAGTAACAGGGGAGCTTCAAAATTTTCGCCACACAAAAGTGCAACGTTAAAAAGATTAAAAAAAAAAAAAAAAAAAAAAAAAAAGCGATTATCAAAGGGGGGGCAGGTGTTTCTGCCTCCTCGGACGGGATACAAAAAAGGGGGGCACGCCGCACATCATCGTTGGCCCACCACATGTGCAGCTCGCCCAGTGGGGTAACCACCCCCCGCGCGGACACAAAAAAAAAAACGACTCATCACAGAATCAAATGCTCCAAGAAGTGCTTCACCGTGGCGGACTCCTCAGAACAGATGCGTGGGTGGGCGATGATCTGCACGTGCGCATTGGAATACACGGGGAGCGAAATGGCGTAGCGCTGGATGGGCACCTGGTTTAGACAATAAAACAAAACCTCATAGTAGAGCAGCTCAGGATTTTTGCAGAATTTTTCAATCAGCTGTTCATTCGAAATGGTATAAATGTGAAACAGGATCTGTTTGTACTTTTGCTTGTCGTTTTTTGTAATTCCTTTTAGCAACGTCGTTCTCTTCCACTTTTTCTTCACGCCACTGGTGGTTGGGGCATTCTTCTGGGCATTATCGCTGCGCTCCTGCGGTTGCTCATGCGGTTGCCCATGCACCTGCTCATTATGTGTATCACTTTTCGTCCAGCTGCCAACCACGTGTTCGTCGCCAAACGACTCATCGTTCTCATCGCCTTCCTCACTATCATCAGATGTCGTGTAAAAAAACTCACTTATATAATCATACTCTTCATTCTTCGTTTCGAACACCTGAAGCATGTTGTTTTCCTTTTCCTTGTTTGATTCGTTTGAGTGTGGCACATTCAATTGCTCTGTCATTTTTACCCCACACGATTCGCTATTCATGTTTTGTACCGCCTCTGAGCCTTCGCCAACGGTGCTGCCTTGGTCCGGCGCGACGGTAAGGGAGGACTCGGCAACTGGCTGGTAGTTCTGGCGACCGTTCTGCAGGCCAGCCGCCCCCCCCTCCAAGCTGTTCCCCTCAGACCCATTCTTCAAGTAGAACAGGGAATAATTCTTCAGTGCGTTGATCGTGTTTTGCAAGGAAAAGCTTTTCCTCGGAACCACCTGCTCCTCCTCCTTCATCTTCTTCTTCTTTAAATTATTGTCCAGGGTCTTTATATCATTTATAATTTTCCTTTTGAGGCACTCGAAGAAAAGTTTTTGAAAGTACTTGTAGTCACCAAACTTCTTCTTGTTGTTATTCTCCTGGGAGTTGCTTTGGTTTGCATTGTGGGGAGTTGCTCCGATGGGGGTAGAGTTTCCTTTCGCGGGACCACAACTCTTTGAGCGATCGCTCGTGTGACGATTGTCTTGAATCGATTTTCCACCCCCAGCACATACCCCCTCCACATAACAATTCTCCACATTGTTAATTTTAACATTGCTATACATGGCCCCTCCACTCTCCGTGACGGTGGCGTTACTCACAATTTTGTAGTTGTCTGGAATGCACAAATATTTATTATAGTAACTCATTTTGTTTGTCTTCTTCTCTGCGCTGTCGCTGTTCATGTTGGTGTTCGTGTTCCCGCTCGCGTTAGTGCCGCTAACCACGTCGGACGTCGCTTCCCCCCTCTTGTTCCCCTCCATCTGAATATCCTCATACGAGTGTGACTTATACAAGGATGCCCTCTTCTCCTTCTGGGGGGGAGAACCACCTTCCTTGGTGCCCACACTAAGAATATTCATGGGGGACACTTTATCGCTGGAGTGGCACACACCCTTGAGTGCTGTTCGGTTCGTCTCTCCTGTACTGACGTTTTTTCTAAAATGAATGGGGAGCATCTGCACGTTCACTCCATCCGACATGTACGGCTTGTCCCTTGTGCTGTGCAGGATTGGTGCTTTGTCGTCCTGCTGGATCGAGCCCCCCCTTCTGTTCACTTGCACAGGGGCATTGCTACAAGTTTGCTCCTCGCACGCGCGACTGTCTTCCCTCTTGGAGGACCCGTTGCGGGACGTGGAAGAGTTGTTAACCTCTCCCCCATGTACGTTATCACAACTGAAGCTGTCCTCATAGGGGAGGAACGACTTTTTCTTCTTCTTCACCTTCCCTTTCTTTCCATCCTCCTTAGCAACCGCCTCCCCATAGTAGTTCATAAAAACGTTGAACTTCTCCCTCTGCGAACAGGAGAGTAACTTGCGTGAGGAAATAATTGTTTGTAACATCTGGTCAAGGAAGCGATTTTGGTCCTTGCGTTTGTTCAGCAAATAATTCGGGTTCTTCAAATCCTGATAGAAGTAAAAGAACAGCAGCTTCTTCTTCCTCATGTACAGATGCACCACAGAGAAAATATTGATCGGAATCTCTGGTACGTTCTTCGCTTGCTCTATTATAAACATAATAAGCTCTTCATTAAAAAGTGTGTAAGGTAAAATGAGAGAAGTCCGGATCCCGACAAGCCAATCTGATTGGGAATTTCCATAAAAAATAATATTTTCAAATTTTTTTAAAATGCTTATACTTTCTACACTAGCAATTTTTAGCAACACGGTAGTTTTATTATTTAGGTCATCGATAGTGTGGGCTCCGAGATAAGTTGACAACAGTTTCATTATGGCCATATTTTCGTGGACTCCAATATGAGGACATGCAAAAGTAATAAAGTTAATCAATTTTTTATTTTTAAACATTTTTTTTCTGTACAAATTTATAAGCACAGATCTGTTTAAAATTCCTCCAAGGGAATGTCCAATCATGGACACATTAATTTTGTCATTTATAACTTTAAAAAGACAATTTAGTTCTGTACATATTCTCTCCGTGCCGACATCTACCCCTTCAAATGTATGACTTTGGTTGCTATATGTTATGTATATAAACAAATGAGGGTACTTTGTCAGCAGGGGATTCACAATATTTTGAAAATCGTGCACACTAGCTGTTAACCCATGTTGAAATATAAAGTAGTGGGGATTCTTTAACGACATGTTGGACTTCCTCTTGCACTCCAGGCAATGGCAACACATGGAGTTAAAGAAACAATAGCAGCGCGAACACTGCTTAATCGTCCCGTAAGACTTGATAATATTGTACAGACATAGTGGGAAGGGCTTCTTCTTCGTTTCGTCTATGTAGTAGAACTGCTTTATGTAATTCAAATTGTTCTTGTACTTGTTGTATATCCTGTGGCTGCGCATGTTGCGCATGTTGCGACTGTTGCGACTGCTGCGACGATCCTTCCGCGTCTCCTGGGGGACACCTCCCTCGTTTGAGACTTCACTCGCCGTTCCCCCCTCTTCCACGCGATGTATACGGAACGAATTGTTTCTCCTCACTAAACGATCGCACAGCGCGTCATACTTCACATACACATTATTACATACGCTCCTCTTAGCGAAACAGCACCTTCGCAGTTCTCTTCTATTAGTTGTTAATCTTTTTCCCTTGTTCCCCTTCTTCTCCCCAGGCGCTACCCTTCCGACGATGCAGCTGCTACCGCTATGATAGCTGTGCTCATGTTGACGCCTTCTCCCACTTCGTCCCATTTTATTCTTCCACACGATGTGGGACGACATGTACGAATCGCTCGCCTCCTTTTTCTGACTCCCTTTTTTCCCCCTGAGAGCTCCTCGGCTAGTGCTTGAGTTGCTGACGGAGGGGCTGATCTGTTCACTACCCTTACGATCCGATGCGTCCCCCACGGATGTCAATCGGGAATGTTCTCCTGCCTCTTTCCTTCTTTCCCCTTCACTGCCCAAGGGCAGCGTGTCAGACAAGTTGCTGTTGTTATTCTTTCTCACCTCTTCGGTAAGTGAAACCTTCGTGCAGTGAGAGAGGTCCGTGCTGTCGCAGTTGCCCAAGTTGTTGGTGTCGTAGAAGAGCTTCTTCCTGCGTCTAACACGATTAACCCGATTATCGTGATCCAAGCCATTGGGACCACCCCTACTACTGTTAAAGAGTTCCCTCCGTATGTTCAAATAATTACTATAACGAGGGCTGAACGTCCTGCTGCGATAATCCAAGCTGTGGTCGCTCTTAACACTACCTCTGCTACCGCTACTACCGTTACTGTCGCTACTACCACTACTGCCGCTATAACCGCTGCTAGAGCAGGGTCTCCCTCCTGAATAGGACCCACCACCAACTTCCCCATATTCCTTATTATACCTATACTTTTTACAAAACTTTTTAAACAAGTACTTCTCCTCCTTAATAATATTATTTATTTTAATATCACGTACAATGTTATTGTCCAGTTGTGTCAGCATAAAGCGAGCAAACTCGTAAGGCACACTCATCATGGAGCTCGTGTCGAAATAAGTATTCTCGTCATATATTAAATCGTACACATGGGGATGTATTTTCTCTTTATATATTTCCTTCTCTAGGACTTCATCTAACAGGTTAAGTGAACAGAACCAACAGAAATGCTCAATCCATTTTTTGTTCGCACACACGGGGCGATTATTCCTCACACTCTTATCATCCTCTTTGCTTCCTCCCCCATCGTTCTTATCGACTACCTTTTTGCATTCTTTTTTATTTGTCTTCCTTCCATGGTTCAGGTGATTTTTTTTGTCCAAGAGAATGCTATTCACATGGTTGTGGCTATTCTGATTAACGAACAAATTTAGAAGAATATTTTTATTGTTATTAAAAAAGTTTGCACTTCTCTTTGCTTCCTTTTCATCGTCTATTGTCTCCAGTACTTCAAAGAGATTCCTGTTGGCGGAGAAAATGGACTCACTTCTGTAATTCGTTTTTTTTCCTTTCATTTCATCTTGTCACAGTGGCTTTTTAAATATGTGTCCTTATCCTTTTTCCCTTACGGAATAAACGCTTGAATTTTGCTCCCGTGGGTTGCTTCTGGCTTTATCTCCTGTTTCTCAGAAGTTCCCTTTTTTGGCGAATCCAGATTTGGGCAGCATAAAAAGGGTGTAACTCACGGGAGGCGTGGGGAGGAGGGTACACACGCACAAAAGGAGGACAAATCACGAAGCGGATGTGTGCATAAGTCAAATGGGTGAAGCATGTGCAAAGAAAATGAACACTACTCGGACTAACGTGAAGACCTCCTCTACAACGGTTTCTCCATGTGTGCAGCGGAGTACGGTGCACGTGTACATGTCCGTGGCGCTATTTAAAAATATTGACTTGGGGAAATTTCCCCATTTCCAACTTGTCGTGTATAGAGCCCCGTATGAAAATGTTGTCCTTCCGCAGCTTCGCATTCGCATTCACATTCACATTCGCACTCGACATTAAAGACTTCGTGCACGCTGCCTCCTTCGAGGATATAACGTGTCACTTTAAAAGATGTGAAGCCAGATCCTCATGGGGTACACCCCTCTTTCACCGCTAAACGTCAGTATTCCTAGCACGACCAAAACTGCTACGTTGTAACAGGCTCTTCCTTTTTTTTATTTTTCCACCATTAAAAAAGGGATGTATGTGAAGGCGAATCAGCATAGGCCTCATATGCAGGCGTGTAACACGTGTTAGCTAAAACAGACTAGCGATAACACGGTACTAACTGAAACGTGCGCAAAGATATGCGTCCCACCACGCAGAATAAGCATGTATATGTAGGGAAAGCAATTCGCGCGCGTATTTTAAAACATATTGCTACTCTTTAAATTCTGCAAAAAGATAGCACACCGCGCGTGTATGTATGGTTCGTACGTCAGCATGTATACTTTTAGTGTACATCGCGTGAACACGAAACCTGCCCCAAAATGGATAATTTAAAAAGAGTATATGCCTGCCTTGCACTGAGGGCATGTACGCAATACTTCAATTTTTATAGCGAATAGTTGTGATCGTAAAGTTTTCGTTTTTGCAAAGCCCAGGTAAATTAACCGAGTTACAAATGCAATTCGGCTGCGTTTAATTTGTGGACGCAAAAACATGCAAAACAGAGGTGGTTAGTTTTTTTTACATTTCTCGCGTTTTGCACACTTTTCATATTTTTCACTTTTTTCACGTTTGCCCGTTTATCTTCCTCCCAGTCGTCAAGTTCAAAAAAATGGGATTTTTTTTAACGTACTAGCGGACAGGACGGTAAAAAAAAAAAAAAAAAAAAAAAAGTATATTAACAGTGAAGAAAATGTACATGTGTAGAAAGCAGGGGTGGGGAAAAAACAGTTATGGTGATACCAAAATGGCGCCATACTAATGCGCAGCAATATGCAGTATACTATTGTTCCAGTAGGTATAGTTTTTGTGTACATTAGTGTACTGCATAATGCTGCGCCTGTTTAGCCTTTTAAGCTTTATTCTTGCAGCCCCCACTTGTGGCGAGCAACGCAAACTCGATACGCTCGTTACTCCAGGCATGTACTGTTACACGTGGGCGTGGCATATGATGGGTTAGCAAAAAAAAAAAATACGCAGTTTTTCACTTGGACATGCCCATTTGGACGCGTCTGCATGGAAAACACCTTTTTTGGAGTTTCCTTTTGCGTGCCCCCAAATATGCGCTTCTCGAGTTTCTTTTGTTTTTTTACACCAATCGGGAGGGGAACAAATGGAGAAAAGTTCTTTTTTATATGAACAGGTCAGGTAAAAAGATATATTTTTTTTTTTTTTTTCCCCCCTTTTGGCTAGTAAGGTGTAAAAAATTTTCATTTGCAACTTTTTGCAAAAATGCGATCGCTTCAGTTGAGAATTGTTCAACATTGTAGAGCAAAAAAAAAGAAAGATTAAAGCATAGAACGAAATTGTATTAAAAAAAATTAAGCAACACAAAAGGGACATGTAACGGAAAGCAGAAAAGGACAAGGGGTCCTCTTTGCTACAAAAACGCTGGGGAAAGACGGAGCGACGTTGTTCATAATTTGGAAACGTGTGGTAAACTCAAAAAAAATGGATAAGTACAGTGAACGGTTGGAAGAACATGTACAGCTTAAAATTGAAACCTATTACACACCAATATCAGCGGGGTGGACACATACTTGGGCATTTGTCCCAAACGACTTTAACCGCACACTCGTGCGATAAACGTGGGGGGACAAGAACGCTGCAGAATTGCAGAATCCTGTAGAGCATTTGACATTAATGGAGAAAAGGAAAAAAAAAAAAAAAAAGCGCAGTAAAGATCCCCTTTCTATTCGCATTTTTTTAAACGGTTAATTTAACCGCTGGGTACGCACTGTGTCTGTATGAATGCACACACGATATATATGCATATGGGGGAAGTACCTGCCCTTGTGTCCATACATAGACCTCCATGTGCCTTCACTTTTTACTATTCTTCACCTTCTCGTAAAAATACTGATGAAAGGAACTGTACGGCATTAGCTCTGGATGGAAAACCATCCCCAAGCAGTTGTCCTGTTCGACAGCTTAAAAAGGGAATAAAAGCAGGGGGAGGAGTGAGGTGAACAGTCAGCATGGTGTTTAGCTTCGCAAGGGAATAACATATGCTCGCAAGACGTACAAAGAACGCGTCCGTAGGAATATGCGCGTGGTTATGTAGTTCCTTACCAGCTATTATATTGGGGCCGACGGTTTCGTGGGAAAATGTCGCGAGTGTGTGAATCTGCAACAGGGGAAGGGTGGTGGTGGCGACAATAACGTTAAGGTTAAAAAAACGGGGGGGGAACAGTAGCACACGCACATGTACAACCACGTGTACATATGATCACGCGTATACACACGGCGAGCCTTAACAGAGGTGCACTACCTGATCTGAATGTATTTCCTTTATGTACGGGGCTCGTATGCAGGCTCCGCGCAAATTCTTCTTGAAGGCACTGCTGTCTGAGTATACATTCAGAGAGCATATGAAGCTGTCGTTCTGTGGAAATAAAAATTGTGCGAAGAAGGAAATGTGAGCAGTGTTAAATTGGTGAAGAAGCTGTAGGGCTAAAATGAATAGGTGACCATAGATTATTGTTTGCGTCTTTTCTTATTTTATCCTTTTTTTTTTTTTTTTTTTTCCCATTTTACCTGCGAGCCGTAGTGGTTCCGGTTTATGGTGATGTCGAGCCCCCCCAAGGAGAAATTTTTTCCGTATGCTTGACTCTGTGTCTCATTGTTCTCTACGTTGTTGGAGAGGAGGATGCAGCCTGAATGGGGATGGAATGGCACACACAGATGACTTATATCCATGATCACGCTGTTTTTGAGTGCATTATGTACATATGTATGTGCTGCTGGATGGCGCGGTGCTCTACATGTTCCGTTGCTACTCTTCCTTACCCGCACAGGTCCCCCATACGGGTTTCTTCTTAACATGGATGAACTCCCTTAAGGCCTGTGACATGTGAAGGGCAAGAAAAATGTGACACCAATTGTAAACAAAAAGAAATCGAGTACGAGGAAATTCCATAAATGTGAAGGTGCAGACACACCGTTAGAGGCATCAACCGTACGCACGATCCACACCAGTTGCCAATTCTTACGTTGTATAAGGTATCGTTATTGTAGGCGAAACATTTCCTCAAAGTCGTGGACTCCCCGCCGGGTATCACCAGACCGTCACAGGTGCTCAGGTCTTCCTTACTTCGAACCTTGAAGGAGATGCAACAAAAGGGTGTGAAAATGGATAGCGTTTCGCTCCTATACATTCGTATATATTGTGCCCTCATTAAAGAGGCACCCAAGTGGTGCATCCACGTATGTACAGGTAGAGATTTGAGGTTTGTGCTGTGCTTTATCAATATGTGCAGCACGCTTATACACATGCAGGCATGCTCATGCGTCCTTACTTCTATAACCTTCAACCCTGGATGTTCCAATTTATGAAAGTGTTTTATGTGTGGCTGGAAGTCCCCCTGGAGAGACAAAACTCCAATTGTGATGTCTGTCATTTTTTCGAAAAAAGGAAGTGGCTCACAAGTAGGGATGCAAAAAACAAAAAAAAAAAAAAAAAAATGTATTTTTAACAAAGTATATTTTTTTTATTTATCCCATGCAGAATGTGCACCCTGTGAGATGAACAGGAAATGAGGGGAAAGTAAGAAGCTTCGTTCTGTGTGGAGGATCCCGTGGTCGTCAGTCCGCCCCGCACATAGATGCATTCGTGGCACGCACGATTGAATATATATGTAAGCAAATATGGGTTTATCCCCCCCCCCCTGGCAGCAAATTTAATTTAAAAAAAAAATGCTTCAAGTTAGCTTGCTAAATGTTTAGTTTCCCCGAATGGGTTAAATCCTTCCGCCTTGCGTCAGGGGATTGATAACCATATGTAACAGTTTGCACAAATGGAAAATGTAAGGGGGAGAAATGAAAGGGCGGGTTCTGTGCATGTACAGATCGTTCACATCCATAGAGCGAACACGTCAACAGTGCCTAAATGGGCAGAATAACGACTCAGTTCAATTTGCATCTAACTCAGCCGAACAGCGGGAAATTCCTCTAAAATGGTAAAAAAAAAAAAAAAAAACAGCCACAGGGGTAGTAGAATTTCTAGGTTGAACAAAATTTTAGATACGGCTTTTACGTGCATGGGTTGTGATAAATTATGTACCTCTAATAATTCATATATATAACACCCTCTATGCGGCAGGAGGCACGGCAACAAAGTTAATATCCTCCGTTCTTCCGTCGCGCATGCGCACTCGAATTGGGGGGGCGACTATTAATGCACCAAGAGTTCGCGTTATGACACTTTTTTAATGAGATGTATAAAAAAAAAAAAAAAAAAAAAAAAAATCCTCAAAGGAAAAATGGTAACATGGTGTCACGGTAATAACAATTCAATACGCTCCCATACCCCGATGCGCTTTTAAAAAAAAAGGCATACATGAACGGATGAGCCGATGTGCAGAAGAACAGAACTCAGGGAAACGCCCCCATGAAGGCAACACGGATTAATATACAGCCGCCAATCTGATAATCTGCCAATCTGGCCACCCGCTCCCTGTTTCAACTTGCTCTGCAAAAATGTCTTTAACGTTACATACCAACTATGGCGACATCAAAATAGAACTCTTCTGCTATGAGGTTCCTAAAACGTGCAAAGTGAGGGGAAAAAAAAAAAAGGAGAGAAAAAATCCCCCACGGTTGAGGAGTTTCTCCCAGGAAAGGGGAAATCAAATGAGTCCCTTCCGTTTTAATCTGCACGATTTGTGAGAAAAATGGAAATGGGCGAAACACAAAACCACTGCAATCCGTTTATGTATCCCTCCTTTTAACACACCTTTTCCATTTAGAACTTCCTAGCCTTGTGTGCCTCGGGATACTACGATAACACCAAATTCCACAGGTTGCTAAGAGGGGGAGAGAGAGAAAAAAAGCTAATCACTCCTGGGGACATGCTTCCATCTCCATCCTTTGGAGCGTCCAGCGGGGGGGTAGAAGTGATGTGATCGGAGTAGTTCGCTATCCTTTAACACTTTTGTCACATCGTTTAATATATATATATGTGTATATTTTTTCCTGCCCTGCTCCTTAGGAACATTAAAGGGTTCGCCATTCAGGGTGGGGACCCCACGAACACTGGAAAAGGCGGCGAAAGCATCTTCGGGAAATATTTCGATGACGAATTTCAATCAACGTTGAAGGTTTGGCGAATGAGATTTGGTGGCCGCGTGGAGAGTGCGCGAAACGTCGCTATCTCGACCTTCATCCGCCGTCCACGTAGTATTATATTGCCTTTTACTCGTCCCACTGCTATGCACATTTTTTCCCCCGCCACACCCTACAGCACGACAAACGAGGAATCGTCTCCATGGCCAACAAGGGCAAGCCCAACACGAACGGGTCCCAGTTTTTTATAACCTACTCCAGGCAACCGCACCTCAATGGAGTTTACCCCGTCTTCGGCAAGTAAGATGTGCAAGGAGAGGGGGAGGATTAACACCACCACCCGGCCAGCGACACTGCACCGGCATCGTGGCCTAAAAAAATACGCACATTGCTTCTCAATATAAAAAAAGGGATGATGAAAAATTCGATGTCTCTTGAGTTGGAGACACGCACAATATGTGCATTTCGACAGAGTTGTTTAAAAAAAAAAAAAAAGGAAAAAAAAGAAAGGCGGTTGGAGATGCATACGGGGATATGCGCACCACTTTGTAAAGAAGCCCCTTTCGCTGGGGACAAGGCCAACCGCTAAACCCTGCCCCATTTTCCTCACTCCACTTTGCAGGGTCATAGATGGGATGGATGTCCTGTCCGTTCTGGAAAATGGTAAACGTGTTGCGTCTGACCTGCGACGCTTGTAAAATTCGTCACCATGCCACGCCCCCCCATCACTTATCACATGCCGCTCCCCCTAACACCAATCAATTAGCAGAACCCGTGGGGGAAAAGCACAAGCCCGTGAAGGACATCCTCATAGAGTCCGTGACGATACATGCCAACCCCATCGCGGAGGATGAGGCCGTGTCGACTTGATTCTCGGTACGTTGACAAACCCCCCTGCGACGTTACACACGCATATGTGACGTGGCGCAGCTCGATGGACAGATATTATTATTCACCCCCATTTTCACAACTCCTCTGAGGAGGGAGAGGGGGCGCGGGTTGGTTGGGGGCTCTTTTTCTTTGTCTTCACGAATGCAGATTTGTTCTGAATGATGTCCCTCATGCGCAGGTCATAACCGACGTTAAAAAAATCGAGCATAATAATGCACAGCGTAAGCATTATCATTAGAATGAAGAAGAGCTTCCAAATCTTCCTCAAGTAACGAAAGCTAAACGAGTCGATATGAAGACAACTTATACTATAGTCTGCCCCAGCGGAAAGCAAGAAGGTATCATTTTTGATGAAGCACATAGCCGTGATGGGGAGTTCATGTTTTTTATAATGTGCTAAGAGGGAATATTTATTATTATAAATTTTTAGGGCCCCTGTGCTGAACCCTAAGGCAAGAAATTTCTCATTCAGACTCATGGCGATATTACAGCATGGTCTGTCGTCTAACCAAATAAACTTCTGCTTCACGCAGCTAAATTTATCCTTTTTATCGTCGAACACGACACTCCAGGTGATGAGGTAGCTATTTCCTCTGGTTGTGTAGGCAGTCGTTAAAAGGGTATACACAAAATCTTCCTTCCTTTTTGTATTTCGTAAAAATTTACAGCACCGGAAATTCAGCTTATCCCCTTTCTGTTTAGGATTATTCATTTGTTCCGTGTGTAGATTCACAAAAGTATGTGTGTTCCATATTTTAAGTGAATTGTCTGAAGAACATGTGCATATAATTTTTTCGTCCTCTGCTATGTCACAGTCCTTGATGCATTCTTCGTGTCCTCTGAAGTCTCCAACATGCTCGACTATGTTGCTGGAGGTGTCGATGAAGAAATTCTTCTTCTTCCCGAGGCGGACACTTCCCTCCGGCGCGTCTGCTTCGGCCGCTGCTCCATCTGCTTCTTTTACTGCTACTTCTTTTGCGGCTGCTTCTCCCCCTTCTGGCGCTCCTGTTGCTGCAGCTTCTGTCGATGACGACGCTGCCGCTTCGCCTGCGGCTTCCCCCGCCGCTTCCTCCCCTGCGGCCCCGCCCTTGGGGTTGGCTTCTACAATTTTGAGCTTCCACAACTTCAACGTTTTGTCCTCACCCCCCGTTAAAATAAAATTACTCGTGGAGGAAAACTTCACGACCACCTGTCTCGAATGCTTCGGACTGAAGTCAGTGACGAAGCTGTGTATGATGTTTGGACCCGTGTCTTCATTTATTTGAAAAATGACACACTCGTTCCTGACGGAGCCTAACCATATGTCGTATTTATTATCGTAGACAATTGAATCGACCACACCTCTTTGCTGCGTCGTCGACCACAGCATCTGTAACTTCTTTTCCTTTTCATTAAATGTGTTGATGTCAAGCAGGTCTTCTATTCCATAGCTCTTTCCCCCCCCTCCTCCCGACGTCACCACGTACTTATCATTTGACCCTATTCCATATATGGGGTAGTTTAGGTACGACACTTTTATTTCGTTCATACTGGGCTAGGATTGTGGCGATAGAGCGACAGGGCGAGAGAGCGAGAGGCGGAGAGAGAGATTTGGGGTTGGAGTTAGGGTTGCTCCTCTCGCCGCGGGGCGGTGGCCGCGAGTCGCGCCGCAGCGGGGTTTGTGTAATCTCATGCGTGCAGCTCTCTCTCCCCTGGCTCGATTTTTATATTCGATAGGAGGTAACACAAGTCGGGTTACTTTGCACAATACACTTGTTCAGCGATAAAGGGGGGAACTCTTTTCTACTCTGAATGGCATCATCAAAAGGTGGGTAAGTTTTTTTTTTTTTTTTTTGGCGAAGCTTTCTCACGTGTGGGATCTTCAAAAGTGCCCTTTATTATATAAAATTACGTGGGCTTTCACAGGCACGGTTCGGGTGCAACACCCCAACTATATACCCTGGAGGGGGAAGGGGACCTAAACAGGGGAAAAACTAACACTTGTTCAAAATTGTTCACGCAAAGTGCGCCTTTCCCCTTTTGTAACATAACGAGATTAGGCCGAGGCTCAGGGCGGGGGGTATGGACACGCAGGAAAAATATATATATATATATATATAACTGGACCAGATGGGCGCTAATCACATATATAATGGTAGTACTACTTAACGCCACAACTTTATGGTCAAATGGGTGGAATGCTAAACCTGCACGACCTCGGTACTTGCTAATTATGATATTCCTGCTTCATGGAAACAAAAAAAAAAAAAAAAATTGTCGCGTTCCGGTTTAGTAGTTATATATAGCATTTGTTCGGTCGCCCAGCCCTTTTTCAAATTTCCCCCTTGGCAAATTTTTTTTTTTTTTTTCACGTGTACTAGATTATTTTTTTTTTTTAATTATATTTTTTTTTTTTTTTATTCCCTATACGCGTTAAACACCCATTTGCCAAGGTTCGGTTCACAAGCGCGGTGATGCAAAACACCCCTATGGCTCCTTTTTTCCGGTTCCTACCGCGTGGCCTTTGCCTGTTCGCAACTCTAGCCCCTGTTCCCTCATCAACTTCCGCGCCCATTAAACTCGTAACGGACGCAGCGAGCTTGGCCCCCAGGTATAGCTGAACTGGCTACACGTGATTTTAACTTTTTATGCGGGTCGCACCATGGTGGGTGTGAAGTGTAACTCCAAAGTTGAAAAGTAGCATTAGCCCCAGTGAAGAAAAATTCCCCCTGTGGTGCTTCGATGGTGCTGTGCGGTGTGAATGCCTTTTTTTTTGCACACCCCTAGGGCGTTACCCCTTCACAAGAGTGAGCATTCCCCACCTGGCACACGTGAGTGACCCCGCCGCATCCACAAAGTTGCGTGGGGATAATGTTAAAATTACTGCAAATCCTTCCTCTTTAAAAAATGTGAGCCCTAAAAACCGTCACGTGAAAGCAAATGTGGAATGCGCAAAGCCGCCTATGTCCCCTGTGCATAATTGTCCATGAGTACTACTCCCAATGAGCATCACGCAGAGAGGGGGGAAAAGGAAAAAAAAAAAAAAAAAAAAACTGTTCCAACCGCCCTTTTAATCAGAACAAAATTACACGCGTGAAAAAAAAAAAAAAAAAAAAAAGGCATCAACAGTGCCCACACACATACATTAAACCATACGTGTACGTGCATGGTACTTGCGCCTCAGCCATAGGTGTATACATTTGCGCGCCAACCATCAGAGCCATTCGACGCCCCTGTGATGTACATACATGATTCCAAGGGTGGTAGTGGAAAAAACGAACGCAATATCCCCACATTTGGTGGGTGAGGGAAATGTCTGGCCGCTGCTACATGCTTCTCCTCGCGTGAGTTCCGCTTGGCACATATGTTGTGTACGCCTACATGTGCCGGTTGTGTTCGCGTTGGTATTCCCAAGCATACTCGTATGCGCTTGCCCACGTTACGTAGGTGTAAGTGCAGGTGTACACCTTACGCACCCACGTATGCGCCAATGCTTCGGCCGCGCCGTCGCACAGCTCCAGTACTAACGAATTCGTCAAATGGGGAGAAAAAAAAAAAAAAAAAAAAAAAAATTACACAAAAATATTTAAAATAACACAAAGCGAAATGAAGTAGCAACAATAATGTTGACAAACACATCATCGCAACAGTGAGCGGGAAAGCAAAATTGTTTTGTACCCGGCGCCTATTTTTTTTTTTTTTTTTTTCCTTTTTTTTTCGCTTATATATTTCGCTTGTATATTTCGATTTCGCTTCCTTTGTTTGTTTCCTTTTTTTTAATTTTTCTCACTCAAAAATACACACCTGGAAATGCATTTTGTGGACGTTGTTAAAATTCAGCCGCCGCAACAAACTGCATTGTACATCACCAACGGGTAGATGCGCGAAATGGTAAAGTTGGGTCATGTCCATTTTTGAGTGAGTGTTCCGTAATACGTTGTTTTTTTTTTTTTTTTTTTTTTTTTTTTGTTACCATTGTGTTAATGCCATATGTTATTCACTGTGGGCGTGATTTTACTAAAAGCGTAGATTATAAAGCTCAATTTTGCTACGCGCGGCGACGTGGTGCGAGTGCAGCACACGGAGGGAGGCGCTTTGGGGCTGCACCGGAGTGGAAAGCACCGCGTAGGGCTCAAGTGGACAATCACGGCGAAAGGACTGAAGTGGACCCCCCCCCCCCCCCTCTCTCTCTAACACATATAGCCGCCAGAAAAAGGTACTTAGCCCCCGTATAGGGGGGAAACAAAAAAAAAGAGCGAAATGACACGTCTGAGGTGTCCTTTTTGTGTAAATGGGTCACCACCACACACGCTGCTTTTATGCAACGCAACTTTTTCCCCCGTGCAGCCGCTGGGCCAGGCGAACGAGTCGCTATCATGATAGAGAAGTCCAACAACCCGTTCCTGAGTATCGACCCGATTGTGGACAGAGGAAAAGCGGCGGGAGAGGAGCTACCGCTGATCGGTTCCAAGTCTAAGCACCATGTAGACTTCACGCAGATAGTGGTGTACTTGGTTGGGCTGTCCGATGGGCTGACCCACCTGGCATCATTGGCCATATATTACTTGTTCAAGGATTACTTTCGTTTAACACCCTACCAGGTGTCGCTCATACTGATGTACCCATACATCCCCTTCATCTTAAAGCCAGCCATAGCACTGATCACAGATTCGGTGTCCATATTTGGCATGAGAAGGAAACCGTACCTGTTCCTGTTCAGCCTATTTCAGTCATTAAATTTTTTGGCCTTAGCATTTCTAGACCTATCTGTATTCCAAGCTACTCTGATCCTCTTTTTCATTTCGCTCTGTGCCTCCTTCTGTACAACAGTGGCAGAGGCCCTGGTGGTGGAGAGTTCCATTGGCAAGACGTATTCTCAAGGCACAAATAAAGTGACGGAGTTTATAGCGTCCAAAGCGATAGGAAGTTTGTCAGTAGCATATTTTTCAGGTTTCCTTTTAGAAAAAATTTCCAGAGAATATATTTTCATGGCGACGTCCCTTTTCCCTCTTATAATTTCCCTGTCTTGTCTCTTCTTAAAGGAAAAGGAATACACTTCAGAGAAGAGTATAGTTACTCAATTAAAGGATCTGATTAAATTTGTGAATACACCAATTTTCTTAGGACCCTTTCTGTACATTTTTGTATACATGTCTGGACCTGATTATGACGATGCGTTTTTTTTCTTCTGTACAAATAAGCTCGGATTCAGACCTTCCTTCATGGGCACGTTAAGACTGACCTATGGAATTGCTTCTCTCATCGGGATCATCATTTACCGCTTGTTTTTAAAAAACCACGGATTGAAGAAGACACTCATTTTAACCACATTGATTTCATTTCCTATTTACATTTCACCAATTGTCTTAACGGAAAAAATAAACACCTACTTTGGTATTTCGAATGAGTTGTTTGTCCTCAGTGGAGGCTTTTTAATTGAAGCCATCACAGAAATACAGCTACTACCACTCTTCATTTTAACAGCTAATATATGCCAACCTGGGTTGGAAGCCAGTGTCTTTGCTACCATTCTAAGTGTTAAGAATTTGGGTTCCTTAACTAAAAAAGGAACCTCTTCATTCTTGACCTACCTCCTAAGGATAGACAGCTACAACTTTGACCACCTCAGTTTGTATATTTTCATTTGCGGCTTCTTCCTTTTATTCTCCCTCACCCTCGTTCCTCTGCTGCCAGAAGAGGAGAAGATTGACAAGCTCAAGAATAAACACGTGTCCCAGCTGCACTCGTAGAAGAATTCGTAGGCACGTCGGGGGTAGGCGACAGAAGGGACACTATTTGTTACAGTGATTCATCTTTTTGTTGTTCCACCCCCCCCCCCCCTGCAGCTAGCCTTGTTACCCTCTCCCGTAGAAAACGTTCCGTTTTACGCGTGTACATATCCTGTTTGTTTATTTCCTCTCGTTGTTTCTCCCCTCCAAAGGGACATGTGACTTTACGTGTCACCCCTTTTTCCTTCTCTAACACAACGCAACTCTCTGTTGACAAAGCAGTTCAGTTAATTAAACCCATGCGGGTAAGTCTGTGTGTGTATAAACATATCCCCCACACCATTTATCGTATTCTACATATGTGCGCGTGGGGAAGGTACAAATGGGGAGTGACGAAAAGTGCGAATATATTGGCGGTCGCTTTTGCACAAAAGAGGGGCGCCATAAAAAAAAAAAAAAGACAGAGAAGCGAATCAGTTAACGCAAAAATAGGGGGGACAATTCGGGAGGGAGAGTCAAATGGGTGAGTGGGCCGAGCACAGTTTGACGCGTCCCCCTCACACGTCTTGTCTAACCCTGTACAAGCGGAAGCCCCACACGTCGGACGTGAACACCTCCTCGAAGTATTGCAGTGGCTTGACCTCCGGGACCTCCAACTTCCGTATGTAGTCGTACCCCTTGCGTGTCCCATTGGACACGTTAAAGTAAGAGAGCCTGTAGAGGAGACTGCTCGACATGAAGGGGGTTGCATTTTTCCCCAGGGGGTGGTGCTGGTGATGGTAGTAGTATAGGAGTGGGTTTATATGCTTGAATTGTTTGTTCGTTATTTTTAGAATCCACAAAAATTTATTCAAATCATCTGAAGAATTTTTTGAATACCCTCCATAGGAGACGAGGACGTAATTCACATCTAGCTTCCTCACATATTCGTAGGCCTGTTTTTCATTTACACTTAGAATCAACCCAACCGTCGCAATGTGTTCAGTGTTCCAGGTGTTATTATCTACGTAGGTTACTCTGTCTCCCATGACACTCAACTGGTAGCCGTAATCCCACCAAGCCATTATCCTTGAATCTTCTTTTGTGTTCTGTTGAATCCATTTGTACATCTGCCTCACATCATCATTTATGTACCGCTCTCCCTTTTCATTTCGACTATAAAAAGTTATGTTAGATTCGGAGTAAGCGATGGAAGAACACCAGGTGGCATGCAAAATGGTTAACATGATCAAGTAGCCCAAGAGGGTTAAGATGCACAGGCTCGTCAGGATAGGCACCTGGGTGTTCTCCGTTCGGTTGAAGGGGAGCTTGACAATGCGGTTGTGTGGTGTTCGTGATGGTAACGCATTGTTGGACCTATTCAAGGGTTCGCTAACAGTATCGCTCTCTTCGTCGGTGCAGCTGTCTTCCACTCCTCGGTGCTCCTCCTCGGAAGCCACTTGTCCCGTGGAGCTTTGCTCATCCGTGTAATGGTCTTCACACGCATGGCTCTGCCCATGGGGGACCTCGCTTCGAATTAGTAGAGACGCCCGGTACGTGCTGGGAGGCACACGCAGGAAGCGCACGTAGCGGTTCAGAAGGGAGGACAAGCCTATCGCGCTCAACACACTGGCGATGGGAGAAAATATTAAAAGCAGTCTAACCATGAGGGCGGAAAAGTACAAACAGAGGACGAAAAAAATGCCCAAGAACAAAGCTTCCATCGGGGCCTCCTTCTTCATACATTCGTACAGTCCAATGGGCACAAAAATTAAAACAAGGTGTATATCAAATAGGTATGAAGACCATGTAGTAGGCTGGTGTTCCGAAATGGATGCAACGATAGGATTGTGTTTAAATGCATAAGTAGGATCTAGTAGGGTTCTAGACCTATGATTCCAAGATAGCTTATTTGTAAAGATAAAAACTTTAAAAATGAAAAAAAAGAAGAGAAAGCACATTTGTATAAACTTACGTTCAAAATTCTGCTGGTCCAATTTCATATAACTAATCACATGTGTTGCTATGAGTAATGCATTGGTTAGCAGAAAAATGGCATGCGTGCCAAGATGCTCGATGCTGACAAAAACAGCTTTTTCAATGCATGGGATATTCAGACAAAGGATGCTTGTTAATACATAATACACATTAAAGGAGATTATATTTTTTAATTTGTACCTCTTTAGTAGGACTATTACTAACATATATAAGCTTACTGAATTAGTAATGTATATATATGCACCCCATGAAAGGGCCATGTAGTAGGTACTGAGTGAGCAGAGGAGAGATGACAGGAGAGTCCCTTCCTTCAGGCACTTAACCCAAGTATATAAACATAGAAGAAGTAAAAATATTGCAATCGCTTCATTGTCGTAGGATCCTGCTACTGTCCTGGACACATGGGAAGGCGAGATGGAAACAAACAGAGCTGCTACTAATCCGGCCCCTTCAAAATTATACACTTCCACTGTTAGCATATAAGTTATTATACAAGTAAGGAAACTAAATAAGGGTCCAATGTAAATGCAAATACTTTTTATATCTACTAGCACGCCAACACTGTTACAAAGTTTGTGAATGAAATGACTCGTTAACATCAGTCCAGGAAATAAAGTTTGTCCTGTTGTTCTGCCCAGAGGGAACCAGGACTTTGTATCGAAGTAATTCCAAAAGTAGTAAAAATTATTTTCTTCTAAAATATTTGTTAATTTGTAATTGAAGTAGGGGTCGTACTCGTGTATGATTGCTTCGTTTCGTATGACCGAGAAGAGACGAAGGAGGAAGCTCAACAACCCGGTCAGCAGCAAAATGAGGATTTTCATCTTACGCTGCCTTCCTTTTCCCTCCTTCATGGCCTGCAAGTGGGGCAAGAAAGCGGTCACGCGGTGAAGGGAAGAATCAGTGACGCGGTGACGCAGACACTACACACGAAGCAATCACGCAGTGACGCGGTGAAGGAGTCAACAACTGCACCGTTTACGCTGTTCGCCTCTGCAAAAAGCATACCTGGCGGAAGGCGCCGCTGCAGAATACCCCATGGAGGAAGCGGTTTAGAAAGAACCGGGGCTTCAGCCCCAGGTAGGCCACCTCCTCTCCGGCTGCCACTCTTTCCCTCTCAACCATTGCGTCACATAACAGGCACACAAAAACGGAGTCTGTGTGTGCATATGTCTATTTGTGGGTGGAAGCCGATCTTCCAACAAGGGGGACAGGAGACACAAAAATGGTAACCCCTGCAGTCTACATAATGTAATCAGGTGTTATATTTGTTTTATATTGAATTATCTTTTTTTTTACGTCTTCAAGTCACTCCCCTCTCTAATAGTAAAACAGAATAATCGGTAGGAATACAAAACTGTTGGCACACTTCCCATCTCCTCATTCCTTCCAAATTGCATATAGGAAGCGCCTCAAAAAAAAAAAAAGTTATCTCAGCAGTTTCGTTTTTCAATCAACCTCTTTTTTTTTTTTTTTTTTTTTTTTCCACCCTTTGGTACAAATTACAAATGAGGAAAGCTCTCCCACTCCATGGAACTAAACACACAAAATGGAAGGATATTAAAAAGGGCAATTGTATAAATGGAGCGTTCCAAAATTGGGGGAATTTTTTTCTCCTGTTTTGCTTCTAAATGTGCGATGTGGGTATTCCCCTATTTTTTTTTTTTTTTTTTTTTTTTTTTTTTTTTGGCGGCTACGCGGCAGAGGTGCCTCAAATTGTGGGATCCTCCTAAAGTGAGCAAGTTTTGTATTTTTTTTTTTTTTCTTGTTCTTCCTTTTAGGTGCCCTCACGGAGAGGGGATGCAACCGCGTTATCGCTGCTCACTGTGGGGACAACACTTGAGAAAGGCTATACCACAATTTTAATATGCAACGCGTCATGTGTGTTCTTCCCCTAACGCGCATACCATTTGGCGTTGCCACGGTTGGGGGAGAGTAGAAGTGAACAGGTGCATATGTTATAAGGATCTCCCCATCTTGGCGTTTCCCTAAACAGGGTGACAGTTGCTGTTGTGTGTGTGCTTGTAACACCACTTTGCAGTGACCGGGTGAAGAAGCTTTATATATGTGTATAAGTCTGTTGCCCAGTGAGAGACTTCTCCCCGCATTAAACGCTAAGCGAAGGGTGTACACCATTGTCCATCCGATTAAAAAAAGAACTTTAAAAATTTAATTAAAAGTTAAATGCCATTTAAAAAAAAAAAAAAAAAAAAAAAAAAAAAAAAAAAAAAAAAAAGGGGTCGGCAGCCGTGTGGCGTGTGCTTGCACACAAAATAATTTTTATGAACAAGTACACATGCACACACAGGTTGCAAACGATCGAAGAGGCCGAGGCGCCGTCGGCGACCCCTCGCGACGGCAATGATGATTAAAAGGTTTAAAAAAAAAAAAAAAAAAGATGTCATGTAAAAATTGGACGCGTACATGTGAAATGAGCGGACAGGAGTTCATCTGGCTCATCAATCGGCGTCGAGCCGAGTGCCCCTTCCCTGCCCTGGCGATGTCGCGTACGCGTCCCCGTACGGTCTACTTGTCTGCTTCACTTCTCTGCTACACTTCTATGCGGTTCACTTCTCTGCCACGGTGACTACTCATTTTTGAGTTTCTCGTAGAGGATCTTACCCGCGCCTCGCGTAAAGTCTGGCTCGATGAAGAGGGCCTGGCTTTCTATAGCGCTAAAGTTGACACCTCGCATTACCTTAAAGTATCCCTCTTTTCCCCAGTTCTTGCCCCAACTGTTTCTGCCAATCCAGTATTTGTACAAAGTGCCATCGATTTCTTCCTCTCCCCATCCGACTAGCACAATGGCGTGGTTGACCTTCTCCCATCCTGTGATGTTATACTCGTAATTTCTCTTGGTAACATCCACAGTACATTTCTTTGCATGAGGGAAGTCCTTCACATAATACACACCATCAGCATATTCATAAAAGTCAGGAGTCACTTCCAACGAAGCAACGATAGGTCCATTTCTGTACATCTCGTTCATCATTATCTTTTCTCCATTACACTGGTTGCATCCGTAACAACCTCCAATGTAGTTGTAGTCCTTTGCATACCATCTCTCTGGGTCATCACTTGTATTTTTTTCATAATTATTATGCATATCAGTGGTTGCTGGGTGGGAAAATATAACTGCATTTATTTGTCTCAGATTCTTCGTTTGCGTCTTGGCTGGGTTGGTTCCAGGAGCAGGGGTTACTAAACCAGTTTGCTCTACTTTGTACGGACAGGTCTGCGTCGTGGCTGTGTAAGGGAATGCCTTATCTAGGGGTATACCTTGTAACTTGGCCATTTTAGAAACCAGGAAAGGATAGCCTCCATTGCATCCTTGGTCATAGAAGGAGCATGAAAGGACTGTTTGTATGGACAAGACGTCATCGAAATTGTTCAGGTATTTTTTGTTCAAATTTTTGGTCAAGCCAATTTCAATTCTTCTCTTAAACACATACATCTGGGAAGCAATATAGCACGAGCCACATGACAACTGGTTAGTCACGTCGTACTCTCTTGTGTTGTTGTTAAATGGATCTCCCCAGGTGAAGTTCTTTGGCAATTCGTCAATATCTAATTCTCTGTGGGGGGACTTTTCTGTGTCTTCATAATTTACCAAGTCCATTTCATTCGTTCCGCTGTCTCCACTTTTAATTTTCATTTGTACTAACGATACAGGGGACACAGGCTGGTCTGGAGGATTACCTCCATCGTTTATTTCATCCTGTACATGCTCATCTTTGTTACATGGGCAAGCATACTTTTGCTTCGCAGCCATCATAGTCGCTCTGGTTAGAGGTTTCTTCTTTCCAAAGTGTTTCATCTTATGCCAGTACAATTCACTGTTCTTATTAATGTTCATATCTTTTCTCGTCGTAAAGGTGGGCTTATCCTTACTGCTTGACGTAGCAGTGGAGAGAGATGGGTAATAAAAGTGGTTCATATGCAGGTGGCTGTTAATACCTGTTTCCTTGGGGAAGGTATTCTGTGTATCTGCTACCACGACAGGCTCACCTGGTAAGTGATACCTCTCCGCATAGAAACAACCATATAATTTCTCACCCTTTGGTTTTGTTATATCTACCCAACCGAATCTGATCTTGTTAAAATTCGTGACGTAGCAATCTGTCTCTCCATTAGTATCGGTCTGGTCATCCTCTTTCACTTCTGCACATTTTCCAGTTGGCTCATAATGCATAAGACCAGTGTATGTTTCATTTCCTAATCTAATTTCAAATCCCTCATCGCATACCGTAGTCCATGTACCTATCTTCCTCTTATGCTCATCATACACAACTAGTACCTTCCAATTCTTTCGGTGTTCATTTCCAGTCGTGTCATGCATGTCACCATAGGATACAAAGTCATCAGATAAAATGACATACATGTCAGAGGTAAATTTGTAGTGGTTGTCTAGGAGGTACTTTTTATAGTCTGTAATTTTTACATTATAAATGTTGCTGTTCGGTTGGCTGGATCCACAGGTGGTTATCTTTGGAGATGTCTGTGTCCTCTGAATTTTCCATTTTCCCACCAAATTCTTAATCTCTACATGCATAGGGAGATCGGCCGAGGTCAAACTTACATAAAGGGTATGCAACAGAATTAAGCCGAAGCTTAAAATGTTCCTTGATCTCCTCATTTTTAAAGAAAAATACACAGGGAAAAAAAAAAAAAAAAAAAAAGAGTAACTCTACTAATTGTATTTCATTAAATTTTGCTAAATCAATCGCTTTTGGCGAAAGGGGAAGCGGATATATATATCACTCCTTCTACGGAATAACGCATACAAGGTCAGGGAGGTGTGTCACCTAAATGTTATCATACATAATATAATATATACAAATAACATACGTAAATATTATGCATGCACAATTATATATATAACGTCGGTAGTTGTAATATATATTTCTACTTATATATGAAAGGCGTTTTTATGAGCGGGTGCTCCAAATGGTAAAAATTGCATGTAGAAAAAATAATGGTTCCAGCAACTCGCAAATGAACGTTCATAATAACGGCATATAAAAAAGGTAAACAATAAAATACGTACACAACAGCACGACCCTTCTATAACTGCTTTACAACATGTCGGGATGATCAATCACATAAAACTAACAATAGCGTGGTTTCGCTTTTATTTGTTCAGATTTTCTTTTTTTTTGCATGATTTTTTATTTTTCATCAAAATGGGTAGTCCGTGAGTTTCTTTAACAAACTTGCAAACAGACGGTAGGGAGGAAATCAGTCAGCCAAAATTTCTCATTTGCCAATTAATCCAAAACAGTAAAAATAGAATAAAAAAATATAAAAAAAATGGAAATAACATAAATCGTGAAAATACGCATTTATAGGCTTCTGCCTGCCATGTTCCTTTTTTTTTGAATTTTTTTTTTTTATTAAAACATTTTTAAATTGCATATGTTTGACAAAATTTAAATGCTTCGTACCAACATTACAGGAAAAAAAAAACAAAAAAGAAGCAGCAACAAAAAACGGTGGTGGGAGAGTCAGGAGCCTTATTTTGCCAATTTCCCCCAAAAGAACAAAAAAAAAAAAAAAAAGTAACGTCAAGGCACGTATTATATATTATATACGCTTGGTTGAGTGTGACTTTCACATCTGCTGCCGCATATTTTCGCGCATGTCTCTATAATGGAAAAAATGAAAAGGGGGAAAAAAAAAGAAAGGAATGAACGAAAAAAGGGAAAAGGAAAAATACATGCACGGAAGGAGAACAAGTTACAAGTTACAAGTGCGAATAAATTGACAACGTTGACAACATGCATGTGTTCGTTCGTTTGTTCGTTTGGTTTGTTCGACTGCGCACAGGTCATTCGCTCAGATTTATACCTCATTTGGCGCAAGGCAGAAAAAGGGAAAAACGTAAGTCCAATTTTATTCCTTTTGTTCAGTTTTTTTGTTTGCTGAATTTATGATTTTTTTTTCCTTTTTTATGTGTTCTTTTTTTTTTTTTTCTGTTTTGTTTACGCCTTAGATCGCAGTTGTTACCCTCTATAGGAGGGAAGGGATGTAAAACATTTTAGCTAGCTACTAAAACAAAAAAAAAAAAAATGTGGCTTTTTTTTTTTTTTTTTTTTCCATTTGCAAATTTGCAAATTTTTAAAATTCCCAAAGCGAAATGTTTAACTTGATTGTGTTATAAAAGCATATAAAACAAAGTTGGGAAAAAAGGATTCACCATTTTACGCGTATGTGTTTTGTCTCTCCATTTTTTGTTCCATGCGTTTCTGATATTGGCGTAAAAGAAGCGATGAGTGAGTCGGGGGGATACTACATCCCTTTGCAGTTGTTTTCCCGCATGCGGAAATGCCTTTAGCTGTAAAATTGGAAAAAATCGCCTTAACAGGTCAGGCAATTTGGGAAAAAAATGAAAAAAAATGAAGAAAAAAAAAAAAAAAAAAAAACATAAACACGCATTAACCCAAAACAGGTGTGACGAATTATTTCACACTTTTGCGGAAAAAAGAACGAAGCTGTTCTATTTCGCATGATGGATAGGAACAGTGGCCACGGCAATTGCGTGTTCTCATTTAATAAAGGAAGGTGAAATTCTCTCTACCCCGTATAATGAGCCTGTTGTTGAAGGAGTGCCAAATCGAGCGCATTTGTTGCACTCCCGTGTGCTCACATCGGCACGAAGAAAAGAGCCACGACATTCTTCCATGTGTTCACCCTTTTTTCGTTGCGTGGCTTGTGTCAAAAAAAAAAAAAAAAAAA